CTCTCTCTCTCTCTCTCTCTGTCCCTCCCCGTCATCTCTCGCTCATTCTCTTTCTTTCTCTTCCTACTTCCTCTTTCTACAGATTTATAAACATTACCTTGACCAAGACAGTAAGACAACTGACAATAATGCCTCAGCAAGGAGATGGTCATTGATTAAGTGCTTTGTAAACGTTTTCAGTGAATTCATGCGTTAGTCAATGGAAACTGGGATACTATATAAATATCTGAACAAAATAGTTGTAGCTACAGAATCCTAATAAAGACTGGTGGAGATGGCGCTGCAGTCTGTTTTGAAGCTCTCTTTCTTTTCTCCAGAAGAAGAATAGGAATAGCACCTCCTTGCGTGAGCAGATCGACTGCTGTTCATCAGCTGTTCGTGTTCGTTCAGTGCGGAGTTTTAGGTTTTTAAAAATTGTAATGACCTCTTGCCTCTCATTCTAAAGTCATATTAAACGAAGAAACAGTCCCCATTTCCTCCGGAAGAGTTTTTTTTTTGTCAGCGTAACCATTTTAAAAAAAGCGTTCTTCCGAAATTTGAATTCTTATTTATTCAAAAACTTGTTAGTTTCACTTTGATTTTTTAAAAACACAAGTAGGGTAACTCTGTTCGCAAAGAGTGCACATTTGCGAAGAGGGCGCCACCGAATTTTGAGGACACTTTTTTTAATTGGCTCAAAGAGAGGGGTGGACCTTTTTGTTATGTAGACTCTTTGGTTTTACTTAACCATATCCGTACTCCATCGGGGTCATTTTGTACCCCCGGGGTTGTATTTTTCACATTTTAGAATACTTCTAGTGCAAAGATCTTTTTGAAACTTTCAGTATTTCTAAAAAAAATCGTTATGGGAGACTGCTATGCAAAGCGTATACGGATCGGATTAACGAGTAAATTTCCTCTTTGGGGTGTGGTGGCACGGAGTTCCCTACGTCGTATGGACACGATAGTAAAACACGACGTACGGATAATGCTAAAGGGACACACATAAGCTTTTTGATTTAATTAATAATGATGAAAGGTTTCCCAGAGACCATGCACATTTATTTATGTACTTCTCTGTACTGTGCCTACGTGTATGCCAACTCTTGATTTATTATCATTATCATTTCTTTTTAACTTAATTAGGACCCGTAGACTTACCTCAGCAATGGTTTTAGCAGAAAAAAGAGTTGAACTATTTTTACCGGTAACAAAATTAAGTCTTGTATTATTATGCACTTACGGTTTCTATATTCTGTTAGACTCTCTCTCTCTCTCTCTCTCTCTCTCTCTCTCTCTCTCTCTCTCTCTCTC